TCTTACATTTGTTATTCACAATTCTTTTTACGATATGCTAGGATCTCTCTCTGTTGTTTTTAAAGAGTCTATTTCACTCTAAAAGGAATTGATATGACTTAAAGGAAATAAACAGAATAATATAATAAGCTAAAAGTAAAGCATCAGAAAAGGGAGAAATATAAACCAAGGTGAAAGAACATAACTAAATATCCTCTATCTCAGCAGATATCATAAAAAAGTCCTCAAATATTTCAAACAAAAGCAATTTGAATTTACTAGAATTACTTAAATAAATATACAATACCAACCATTTATTAAAGGATTAACACATGCTGAATGCCTTACACACGTTATTTCATTTAGTTTTCAGAACAGGCTCCATTTTATAAATGAGGAGTGTGAGGCTTAGACAAATTACACAGCTGCGCATGGTAGCACAAGCCTGTAATCAGCACTTTGGAAGGCCAAGGCAAGACAATTGCCTGAGCCCAGGGGTTTGAGACGAGCCTGGGCAACTTGGTGAGACCTTGTCTCTACAATATATCAAAAAATTAGCCAGGCGTGGTAGCACGTGCCTGTAGTTCCAACTACTTGGAAGGCTGAGGTGGAAGGATCGCCTGAGCCCAGGCCGAGGCTGCAGTGGCCATGAGGGTGCCACTGCACTCCAGCCTGGACAATAGAGTGAGACTCCAACTCAAAAAAAGAAAAAAGAAAAATTATAATCCACCTAATGTCAATAGCTATTAGAGGCAGATGTGAAAACTGAACTTATGTCTGTCTGACTGCTGAATAGCTAATTATGCTGCTCACTTTTATGTTAGATACAAGTTATTAAGAAACAGAGAGAAATTACAGTAAGATAAAATATGTTGAAACTCCCTGAAGTCTGAGAATTACTGACCTATGATGGACAATAGAAATCAGATAGGAATCAGATAATCCCCAAACAACTATGAATGGCTTCTCCCCATGTCCAGTTCCATCCTATGTACCAGAACTTGGTTAGTTTTCCTAAATTAATATATTTTACATGTCACTAACCTGCTCAAAGCCTTCAGTGGCTGCCTATTATTTAGATTAGGGGTAGACAACCTTTTTAAATAAAGAACATGTAGTATATGTTTTTGTCTATGTGGGACTTATCATCTCTGTCGCAATTAACTAGGCTATCTGGCACAAAAGCAGCCACAGACAATACATCAATTTATTCCAATAAGACTTTATCAGTGGACAGTGATATTTGAATTTCATAAAATTGCATCTGTCACAAAATAGTATTCTTTTAATTTTTTTTAACCACTTAAAAATATCAAAACCATAACCAGGCGTGGTGGCTCACACCTGTACTTGTAATCCCAGCATTTCAGGAAGCTGAGGTGAGAGGACTGCTTGAGCCCAGGAGCTTGAGACCAGCCTAGGCAACATAGTGAGTCCTTGTCTCTACAAAAATCCAAAAATTAGCCAGGCATGGTGGCATGCACCTATAGTCCCAGCTACTCAGGAGACTCAGGCAGAAGGATTGCCTGAGCCTAGAGGGTCAAGGTTGCAGTGAGCAGTAATCATGCCACTGCCCTCCAACCTGGGTGACAGAGGCCCCCAACTAAAAAAAAAAGTAAAAACCATTTTTAGCTCACAGGCCATACAAAAACAGGCGGGTCTATGTCTGGACTCTGTTTCTTCTTGCATTGCCTTTTTTTTTTTTTAAAGAGATGAGGTCTTGCCAAGGTGCCCAGGCTGGTCATGAACCCCTGAGTATAGGCAATCCTCTTGCCTCAGCCTCCCAAAGCACTGGGATTATAGGTGTGAGCTCTCTTGTACTGCTTTCATAATGCCTTAATTACAGGAGCTCTTTAATAGGTTTAGATATCTGTTAGAGTAAATCTTTCAGTTTTTTCCTTCAACATTGTCTTGGCTATTCTTGGATCTTTGTATTTCCACATAAATTTTATAATTAACCTGATAAATTGCACAAGATAATCTGTTGTGATTTTGGTTAAGATTGCACTGAATCTGTAGGTCTATTTAGAGCCAATTTTCATCTTCATAATATTGAGTCACTTAATCCATAAACATTGTTTATCCCTCCATTTATCTGAATCATCTTTAATTTATTACATATGTATAATTTTCATAATAGAGATCTTGCAGGCCTCCTAGATTTATTTTTAGGTGTTTGGTGTTTTCTGATACTCTCATAAATAGCAGTATTTAAAGTTCATTTTCTACTTGCTTGTTGCAGGTATGTGGAGATATAATTGACTTCTGACCTTGTGTGCAGCTTCCTAGTTAAATTCACTTATTGATTCTAATAGTTTGTAAATTCTTTTGAACTTTCTACATATATAGTAATGTTATTTACAAATACGCCTTTATTTCTTCTTTCTAATTCATATACTTGGCTGATTCATTGTTTAATGCTAGTTTATATAGTTTTGAATGTGTCTTTTGTTTTTATAAGCTGCTTCAAATTCTTTCTGCAAAAATACATACTAAGGTGCATAACTTTATGAATCAACAGAGAAATGTAAATTAAAACCAAATTATGACCCTACTAGATACCCACCAGAATGGCTAAAATGAAAACAAACAATACTGACTGTTGGTGAGGATATAGAGCACTGTAACTCTCATAAGCTCTGATGAGAATATAAATTGGGATAAATACTTTAGAAAACTCTTTGGCAATTTCTGCCAAAGTTAAACAGACACATAAATTGCAATCTAGCAATTCCTTTCTAGGTAAACACCCAATAGAGATGTGAACATGGCTGGGCGCAGTGGCTCACTCCTGTAATCCCAGCACTTTGCGAGGCTGAGGCGAGAGAATGCCAGAGCCCACAGGTTTGAGAGCAGCCTGGGCAACCTCATCTCTACAATAAATTTTTAAAAAATTAGCTGGGCATGGTGGCATACCCCTGTGGTTCCAGCTACTTGGAATGTGACACTGCACTCCAGCCTGGGCAACAGAGTGAGACTCCAACTCAAAAAAAAAAAAAAAGAAAGAAAAGAAATGTGAACATGTGTTCAGCAAAATGCATGTGCTAGAATGTGCACAGCAGCACTATTTGGAATAGCCTCAAACTGGAAACTATCCAAATGCCCATCAACAGTAGGAATCACATCACATTGATACAGTGAACTATTATACAGCAATGACAACAAATTCTAACTATATGAACAGTATGGATGAATTTCATAAATAATACTGAACACAAGCCCAGACACAAAAGAGTACATACCATATAATTCAATATACATATAATTCAATAACCTATGATTTAAGAAACCAGGATAGGGAAAGGCCCTAGTTGAGGATATGAGGTGAATACTGGAAGGCTGGTCATGTTCTCTTTGTCGACCTGGGTTCTGGTCACACCACATGCAAATTCATTAAGCTACACGTTTATTAGTTCTATTGTATGTTATGGTCCCAATACATTAGGGCAGGCAGACAGAAATGACAGTGGAAAGATAAGGTGAAATGAAGAGGGAAGTTAGTACATAAAAATAAAACGTATGCTTAAAGCTCTAGCTCTCAGGCAGAAGTGGGGCACAAATGTGTCTCTGAGCTTCCTTGCAGCCAAGGCAAACAGGACAATGCAAGCAGTTCAATGATTCAGTGTCCGTAAGATAAAAACAAATCAATGTGCTCAGGAAGAAGAAAATTATTTTCAGAACTAAGATCTGAGAGAAATTTCTCCTGAGCAAGATGTTGTGTAACACAGTGAATAATGTATGCCCTTAATCGCATCCTTACAGCAGAAGTCATAGTGATTAACACAATGACTTCCTCTATGAGCTGATGCCATAAAACCAAAGCACAGTTCTAAGAGAGTAACTGGGGTCAAGAAGTATAATGGGGAAGGAAAAGCACTGCAGTATAAGTGTGCTGCTCTGAGAAATGCAGAGAAACAAATGGTCTAATGATTCGCATATCCTTCAGGCTATCTCCCATAAATGGTGTATCACTCAACCAAGTTGATACACATTGCAAGCAGTGAGCTCAAGGTCACACTCTCTAAGACAGGTTCCTAGAGTCCAGCTATTGTCAATAAAATGGTGGAAGTGGGGAAACAGGAGGCATCGCCATCCATGGAACAGCCAGTGGATCAGGGAAGTTGGACTAATAGTGTCTGAAAGGCTGTCAGTGAAGAATAACCGCCCGCCACAGTAGTTCATGCCACTGTAAACTCAGTGCTTTGGGAGGCCAAGGCAAGAGGATTGCTTGAGGTCAGGAGGTCGAGACCAGCCTGAGCCACACAGTGGGACCACATACTCTCCACAAAAACTTAAAAATTAGCTGGGCATGGTGGCATGTACCTGTAGTTCCAGCTACTTAGAAGGCTGAGGCCAGAGGACTGCTGGAGCCCAGGAGTTTGAGGCTGTAGTGAGTTATGATCACACTACTGCACTCCAGCCTGAGCGACAGACCCTGTCCCTAAAAAGTAAAAATAAATAAACGTGTAGAATAATTGCACTATTATTCATATATCTTTCATGAATAAAGATCTGGGTTTGTTTGTTTGTTTTTCCCTACAGTGTTTTTTAAGCAAGATACACTACAACCCACCCTTCATGCTCAGGTCAGACACCCTGAGCTACCCTCCTCAAAATGTTCAGTGGCTCCCCATGCCTACTGGCTAAGCTTCAAAGTTACTAGCATGAATGCCAGGGCCTTTATATGGGTCTCACCCTGTCCTTCCAGTCACGTCTCTTATCTTTCCCTACACACCCAAGGCTACTACATACGGCTCATTCCTCAGTGTTTTCCACACATGCCATAGGGTCTCAGACCTCCTCTTGCCTTTGTCCATGCTGGTCAGAGGGAAAGGAGAAATCAGGCATCCAGAGTTTGTGGCAATGCTCTACTGTGTCAGTCACTTCACTACTTCCAAGAATCATTTAACTAATTTTATGATTCCTGCCTCCTCTAAACTCATCCTCAACCTTCACGTCACATTGATCCCTAACCGAAAACATTCCTTTGAACATAAGCATGAAACTAGTGAACCACTTACCCTACAATATGGCTCCTTCTTTTTTATATCCTCCTGCTGGATCAGCCTCAGGCCCTGGACCCCATTCTGCAGCCCTCTCTCATATAGGGACTGAAGTCTGGGGATTTCTTCTTGCTCAACAGCTACTATAAGCTTCAAAATAAATAAACAAATAAAGAGCATGAATACAGTTAAACACATCACCTACTATGAAAGGTAAAGTCAATGGAAAACCATAAATGATTGCATGACTCAAACCAGGTTTTTTACAAATTCTTTTTTTGTCTGTAATCGATTTTACTTCAATATAATCTAAACACATTCCATTTAGAAAATACCAAGAAAAATGTATGTACAAGAGTTGATGCTATTGCATTTGGATAAGGAAATACCACCAAGGAAACCTAATACATTGGAATAGATGTTGTGGTGTCTGGCCCATAGTTTGATAGTTCTGAGAGTTCAGCTGAAGTTGTCAATGTTTGGTACTAGATGCAAAATTTCATCGGTTATCCTGCAACTGCTAAGACTCCTTATACATCTTATATCTAAGTTTTTAAGCAGACTGTCATCTCACAGATTCAAATCTTCTGGAATAGTCTGCAGTGCTAATCTTGCAAATAAAATATCAATCTCTATCCCATCGAAAGAGAACTTGATAACTGGTACAAATGCCTCTTCAACAGCTCTTAAATCTTTTACTTCTTCCTGTAATTTCAACTTATCACAGAATGAGGTGAAAAAGTCACTTCGGTCAACACATCTTGGTGCAACACACAAGACATCAATATTGTTGCACCTTTTGTATGCACTCCTAATCTGTAAGATCCAAATGTAAAAATTTTTCCTCCAACATTTTCAATTACAGATTGTGGAAGATTCTTGCTTTCACTGATTTCTTGTATCCAGTCTTTTACCAGGTTATTTAGTTTTCCCAGAATTAAATTCCTGTGCTGCAGTTCCTCTTCCTCTTCAAAAACCCCAAAGGGCTTCAGAGTCTCAATTAGTTTCTGCATGAGTATACAGTCTATCTCCTTGGGAGCTGCTAAGCTGATAGAAGTGATGCCATAGTGCTTCTGTGGCGGCTGTGTTTGCTGTGATCCCTGTGTTGTGACTGGAAACAGCAACTCTCCTGTGCCAGTACTGCCCCCCCAACCCAACTGCAGTGCTGCTGCCCTGGGCATGATCCACTGAGACGGGAGGGGGGATGGGACTGCCTCAGCCCTCAAAAATTATTTTTTCTTCATTTATTTTCTTCTCTTTCTTCATGGCTTTATTTTCTTCCTCCACCAAGAAAAGTTGTTATCAGGAAATGGCATTAGGCTGGGCATGGTGGCTCACACCCATAATCCCAGCACTTTAGGAGGCCAAGGTGAGCAGATTGCCTGAGCCCACAGGTTCAAAACCAGCCTGAGCAACTTGGCGAGACCTCATCTCTACAAAAAAAAAAAAAAAA